TGTTGTGGTGTGGGATGGTATGTGATGTGGTGGTGTGTGTGTGTGTGGTGTATGTGTGTGTGTGTGTGTCTGTCTGTCTGTCTGTGACTAAAGTCGCAGACAAGAACCAGGCAAAATAGCACTTGTTTATAATCCCAGCGCTGGGGAAGCAGAGACAGAAAGATCTGTGGGGCTCTCACTGGCCAGCTAGCCCAGCCTAATCTATAAACAGATCAATAAAAGGCCTTGTTCTAAATCTCCACAACCACTTTTAAAAATAAATAAAAATTAATAAAGAAACTTCCAAACAACCAAAACAAAACAAAATAACCCAATATGAATGATGTCTGAGAAAGAGTGACATTCAGGCTTGTCTTCTGTTCTTCCCACACAGATGCACACATGTGTAATTACACACACACACACATACACACACACACAGAGTGGTCTTGTCTAGCATCAAGAAATCAAAGGTCAGCCTTTTTATTTGTCTCTTATGGAAATCTTTATTAGAAGAAACCAAATTTACAATGAGTACCAACAAATTTCATTAAATATTAACTGTTTTAGCTATCAAAGGTATTTAGACCATATGCTTTCTGTGTTCCTGCATAGCAGAGACACGCTAATTACATACATAACCCACACCGCCATGGGCTCAGGAGAGCCCAAACCACCAGGCGTGGGGCGGTGTGGGGGTAGAGGGTGGTGAGCCCACACTGCAAGGCGCCAGTGGGAACATTTTGGTATAAAGGTATCTAAAGTGAGTTCTCAACAAACCATCAATAAACAACAGCAGGTTATTGTTGATTGACTCACTAATCCCCATCTTGGGGCAACGTCTTGTTATGCTGAGTTGGCGAACTCAGTCAAGTTCTCCTAGAACTTAGCAATCTTCATAAAATTATTCAAAACGGAATTAAAAACTGTTCCAGTCCCTATTGGCACAGTAAAAAAAAAAAAAAAAAAAAAAAACCTGACAGGTAAACAGGTTGTTTCATATAAAAGTTAGTGGAACGGACAATCCATAACAGGATGGAAGAGCCGTGTGTAACGGAGTTTTCCAGCATAGCACACAGCTTCCCCTCTGAGGGAAAATTTCCCTGTGAAACTCCCACAGGCTGCCCCTTCAGGTATGGGTAAGACACTGGACATATACATGCTGACCCTTATTTTTAAGGAACTACTGTAGAAAAGGTTATACTTTAAAACTTCTTTTAGTAAAAACAAAGACAAATCCAACACGTGTTCTTTCAGGCAGCTCTGCTTGCGTGTGGCACCCATTTGTGAATATTCACTAAGCCCAAGGGGAATTGTTTGTATCGCACAATTTACTCCTCTGATAGTGAGGAAATCAAAAGTAGAGTCACGGCCAGTGTAGTCCAGTCAGTGAGCAGGATGAGGAAAAAAAAAAAAAAACTCAAAACAAAACAAAATGAAACAAAACAAAACATCAAAGACAAAACACCAAAAAACAAAACTAAAATAACAAAACAAAAGAAACGTGAGAAGACTTGTCATCAGTCAACATTGCAGGATTTAAAGTTTAATTTCTTTCAAATGAGGTCTGTACACTTGCCCACAAGATCCGGGAAGGACTGACCAGCCGGGAAGGCACTGAGAGAATTGAGTGGTAAGGGCTGGCAGCTCTCACAGGATGCAGTCTCTACTGAGGCAAAGACCGACCAAAGCGGGTGGTCCGCTTAACGGGTTGACTGTCAAACAGGAGCAGGGGAAGGGCCTTAAAAAGCATTTCTCTTGCTTTAATTACCAATTTTCCTTACAGAAGTCTTTTAGTTGTTGTCTTTAAAAATATACTAGGAGCTATCAATTTAAATCATGTTACTATTAAATCGAGTTACTATTAAAAAGATTATGAATGTACTCAATATTTTTTTCAAAACATCCAAGTCACTCTATGTTAAAAAAAATAATTAATAATAATAATACAATAATAAATTACAAAACGAAAGATCTTAGTATAAAAATGTTGCATGTAATTAACAATTCCCTTGTGACTTCTGAAGGCTTCACCGGCTACAGTGTGGGCTTTGGTATGAGATGCAAAAGCAAGCCAGCAAGGCCGGGATTCGAACGTCCCCAGCCAAAGCACTCCGGAAGATGTGTTGGACGGATACAGTGTGGGAGGCGACACAGGCGGCAGGATGCCCAGCTGGCTCGCCTACTGCTTCTTGATCTTGCCCTGATCCACCAAAACGTTCATTAGAGTCGGAGTCACGAAATAGGGTCTTGAAAGAGAGCCTTCGTTTCTTTCTAGGTCTTCCACTAGGAGGGAGGAGGGCAAAGTCAATAGAGCAGCGAGGCGGTGGGAGGAGCAACATCGCCACCTGCTGCCCACCCGCTGCACAGCAACGCCAAAGATCGCTCTTTTAAACAGCATTATTGTAAACAGCTATAAGAAAACAATCAGCCCTTATTATTACAGCGATAAGATATCATTTCATTCTGTGTCCCAGGTCAGTTCTGGCGACAGTTCAAGCATGTCCATAGAACTACTAAGGAAATAACATTTACTCCCCATCCAAATTCACTTTCTAAATTACAATATCTATTTCCAAATTGCCTTTGTTTTGCCAATGGCAATTTAGATTGTAAAGCCTCCACAAAGAGATCTTTGTGTGTAATCTCAAATCCTTCCATACACAGTTCTGGAAATATTGCTCTGTGTTTCAAAACTTTAATTGCTGTGTAAGAAAAATGGCTTCTAAAATTCTTCTCAAAAACAACATTCATTTTTTTTACTCTTATATATTTTAATAACAGAAGTAACAAACAGAGACTATTTTTTTTTTCTGAGTGGGAATACACCGTAACACAGTAAACCAGACAGCTGATTTCTTACATCTGATCTATAGCCAACCTCAGAATTTTTGCAGGTATCTGAATCAACTAGAGAGTTTTATCATGGTCCAGAGAGTGGCCCACATACTATCACAAGCTTGTAGGTTAGGTAGACACCTGCAGCAACAGGCTCACTACATGTCACCGTTGTCGTAGATTTTTGTTGAGGTCCCTTGCATGGTTGTAAATAAAATACTACTAAAATGCAACAAAAATTGATAAGTGATTCCTTTTCTCTGTTATCAAGGAAAAAAATGACAGGTGACATTTGAGATTGATAATCTCAATAAAGCAAACTAAGAACAAGCTGGAGATTTTCATGTGGACCAATACTTCAAAAGCCTTCTGGAATTATTGGCTCTAATAAGGAATCTGCCATACAACCATTCTAAATCTAGGTTCACACACTTTAGGATAAGTAAATTAGCATTTACATTAACTTATAACACAAGGATATATTTTTGACTCTCAAATGCGTGGGCTGTAACGATAGCTACACGTTACATTATTAATACACAGACAATCTGATGTGAGTTTAGTGTCAAAACCAAAAGGGCACCAATTAATCCTGTGCTCTGTGGAGGGGCTTTATATCCTTAGCCAGGTGGCCCATTTCCACACACAGGGAAAAGCATGCAGTGCGTATGGGTCCGATTCACACCTTTCTGCACCATGTGAGATGTAGGCATGGCCACAACAAACTAGCTTCCATTCTCAGCCCTGGGGCTGTGGGAATGGCAGAACTCTTGATCTGAAACATGCACATCCCAAGGAAGCACCAGATGTGATACCTGAGAGGAGGCCTCTGGCCTGAACAGACTCATCTGCTATACTTCCTTACAGAAAGTTGAACTTTGTCCTTGTGCGGGGGTGTACCCACAAAAAGGAGAATCCACAGGCCTTCTACGTGGCTGTGTCAGGAAACTCAGAGGAGGCAAGAGATGAGGGAGGTAGCCATTTCTGCTCTGTTCAGATATTCTCAGGTGGCCAGAGGTTCACAGCAGTGGAGAGGATATCCCCAAACTCAGATTTCACCCAAGTATGAGTCTCACTTCACAAAAACAGAGAGATGAGGCTCCAGGCTTACTTCACCTGCAGCAGGGTTAGTACTGAGCACACAGGACCTGCCCTTCGACAGCTTGTCCCAGACTAACTTGCCCACTTGAAATATGCTTTCTAGGAAACCAAGAACACAAGTTGAATCACAGTTTTAGAGAGCTGGTCACCAGCTTAAACAGTAACTATAACCATAGCAGCATATACACAAACTCAGTACCATATGCTGCCCAACTACAACTCCATATTTTTATGGCTAATTGATTACACATTTATAGTGTTGTAAAAAACTGCCTGAATACCCTTTACAAATATACACTTATAAAAAAGAAAGGCTAGCAAAGTTATAAAAGTTATGAAAACATTGTCAGCTACAGGTGTTTGCACTCGGGACCACAGTCTATAAAGTAAACTAGGCCACTGTCAGATGCCTGATCCCTCAGACGGTCCCGAGTGCACCTTTTCAGGAACAACAGAGATGCTTGCACACTGCTCTAAAGCAACATTTTCATATTGCAGTCAATAACCTAATTCACGAAATTCCTGCTTGGAGCTTTTCTACTCTATCTCTGGGGACCTGGACGCTTCTTGGTCAGAATTCTATGCAGGCTGGGTGTTACAAAATAAGGTTTCTCTGCAGATCCATCGTTCCTTTCCAGATCTTCACCTGTGGATTAGTAGCCAAGGTAGGGCAGAGGCAGGGAGACGCCGCAGAACAAGGACCCAAGATTTTACAAATTGTAGAGTTGAACAGGGAGAAACCAGAAAAATCAGTGTTAGCATGTCAAATATGAGGCAAACGTGCAGTGCTGGTGATGGAGAAGGTGGGAACTGGTCTCTGCCTGGGAGAAGAGCCCACCCCACTCTCACCCACACACACACACACACCTCACACTCTATGAGCCCATGGAGCTTTATTTCCAAAACCACCACACAGAAGCTCTGCCTGGGGGTTTTCTAAAGTGTTGCTTTTCATGTCTGTGACCGTTCATTTCGGAAAGTAATGAATTGCCACATATCACTAATTCCGTGAGAAATGTAAAATAAAGATGTAACTCCATCTTTCAGGCCTTTTAAATCTTCAGGTAAGGTCTTCTTGTCTAGCCCAGCCTGGCCATGGATCTCTGTCTTCTTGTTTTGACCTTCCAGTACTGGGGTCAAAGGTTGAACTGTTTTACCTGTCTACTTACCTATGGGTGGGGCATGCCTCCATGTGTGTTGGGGGAAGGGGGTATGAGTGCAGGGGTTCAGAGGCCAGAGGTGTCTGGTCACCCTGGAAATGCAATTCTAAGAAGGTATAAATCACCCAACATGGGAGCTGGCAGTCACTGAAAATCTAACTCCAGTCTTCTGAAAGAGTGTGTGCTTTTAACCATGGAAACATCAAACCATCCCCTTTCCTTTCTTTCTTCTTTAGTATTTTAATTACATTCATTTATTTCTGTGTGTGTGCATGCATGAATACATGGGCCACAATTCATGTATGAAGATGAGGGGTTAATGTACAGGGCTCAGTTCTCTTCTACCACTGTGGGTCTTAAACTTGGGTCATCAAACTTGGCAGCAAGCATATTTACCAGTGGAACCATCTTATAAAACAGAGAACCTAGGCAAAGATTAAAGTTTCTGGTCCCACATTGGTTCTTGGCGAGCCAATCTATCTAATGTGTAAAGTTCTCAGATTTCTGTGTCTGTTTATTGAAAATTGATTTTTAAAATGCTTAGGGGAAAAAAATCAGATCCTTTTATTTTCTAAATTTTCCCCTTCAGGAATCATCTTCCTCCCTGACCTGCCACGGAGGGACTTTCTCAGCAAGTAACAGGGCAGACACCTCTGTCTCTCTGAAAGACCCATGTGCTAGAGAAACAATCTCTCGGCCCCAGCATGGCTATTGGGCTCTGTTCTCTGCCATGTTCATCCCACCTCCTCCAGGTTTGCCAGAGATACTGGGAGAGAAGACATTTTTGGTAAGACAGACTCCTTTGTTTTAGGTCATGGGTAAATGGAAAGCAGCCATTCTCCAGGGCGTGAGAGAGGTGAAGGGAGCTCCAGAGAAAGCTTTTAGTGCTGAGTCTCTATGTAGGTACACACACTTGCCATGCACATTCCTATCAGAGGCCTGTCTACTTACCATGACTCAAGGTGACCCCATGTCTCTTTGAAACCTTTGCATCTTGACTTTACCATAGTCTATATGTATGAGATCTCATTGCGTTCTTACAGCCAATCCAGTGATAGGGTTCAGTGGTAACACGCTTTCCTAGCATAGGCAGGGACCTAGGTTCAATCCCTAGAGCTGCTCGCTTGCGCTCTCTCTCTCTCTCTCTCTCTCTCTCTCTCTCTCTCTCTCTCTCTCTCTTTCTCTCTCCACTCTCTCTTTCTCCCTACCCCAAAACAGAACTAAAGAACATCTACAAAGTAATGTCTCCTTCCAAATAAATGCTACTTTGTATTTGAAACTAGGTAACAGTAAATCACCAAGGCAGGCCGGCAACTGAATTTTTACCTTCTCCTCTTTCAAACACACACACACTGGATACTTACAGAAGCAGATGAAAATGGTTTCAACACACATTGAATAGACACTGAAGAACCCATGAGCAATCAGGTAAGCTCCAAATACAAGAGTCTATGAACAGAGAAGAGAAGCAACAAGTCACCAACTTCACTCAGAGCAGCAATAATGTAAAAGCAAACACAAGGTGGGATAAGGAAGCATTGGAGGACTCTGTTGAGAACATCTGAAATGCAGACACCTTTGGTAGTGCGATAATATGCTGTCCTGAGATTTAAACAAACAAACAAACAACAAACCAACATGTGCTTGCTCACATGATCACCTCTTACAATGATGCTAGTACCAACCCAAAGGATCTCAGCTTTAAGTTCCTGCACATCAAGGCAATAGAGTCTAAAGGGTAAGAGCATGTGCTACCTAGGTCCTCAAAGTCACTCAACCTTTTTGTGCCTCTGCTTTGGCATGAGGGGAAAGAAGTGTTTATGTCACACAGATGAGGAGAACTAGTTCACTGTAACAGATCCAGCAAGAGTCCATTCAACTCTCCCTTGCTATCCATCCATTCCTCCCCAGAGATCTGGAATGTTGGCTACAGAGAAGAATCAGATATCTCTCTGCATAGGCATACCCCTCCCTGCTAGGAACCACTTCACCCAAGTTAGAGCCCCATCTTTGGTCTCAGCTCCTGGCTAACATCTGCTGACATGATTCACAAGGCTAGTTTCTTTTCCAGAAAGTCCTGTCATTTTTATCTGGGGACATCATTGTGGCTTGCGACCCAGCTTCTGTTGTCCTGCCTAGCTCTCCTTACTTCCTTACAAGTGACTCTCATGTGAGAGTACCCAGTAAACCTTCTACACAAAACCTTTCCTTTCAACAGCCCATTCCTTTCCTAAGAACTCAGCACCTGAATCGGGAGTCGAGAGGCACAGATTAAGAACAATAATGCCCACCGCCTTCACTGTGTCCGTTTTTCTTTTCTTACATTTTCATCTCGAATGATCATGACATCAGTGATACTAAGCTTCCATAGACTGAACTGCTTACCCAGTGCTTACAGTATAGCCTCAATTCTCAATGTGATAGAACCAAAGAGAAGGAGTTTGGGAAGTAGTGAGTTCACAACGGGGATACCTTTATTCAGGGATTGGTGCCTGCTACCAAGAGACTTGGTCTGCCCTCTTCCTCTCCAGCTCATCTGTGAGGAAGCCCAGCTGGCACCTCCCAGTCTTTCAAAATTCAAGGAATACATTTCTGTTGTCAAAGCTAATCACCCTTTGTTGATTTCGTGACAAAGTCACCAGTTCTTACCAGGAAGGGGACCCAGTAGTAATTTAAAGTCGTTGGTCCCTCTACAATTAATTGTAGTCTTTCTGTGAAGAGTAGGAAGGCCAAGACACCTACATAGAAAGAACAGAACATGAGAGTCATACACTGAGGAAGGTCATGGAGATTGTTGTAGCAGGGCAGTCTCCAAACTCTCTGTAGTTTTCCATCCATGTAGTTATCACTACTTACCTACAATCCCAGAAACTAGGACTTTTCCCAGGAGTAATACAAAATATGTGACTTCATCTGTAACTGTGACTCTAAGCATCAGGGGGAGACAAGAAAGCTTTGGTCAGTGTTTGAAGATACTCAGTGCTCGAAATCTGTAGGAGGTAAAAACTCCTGGGTTCACTTTGCTGTGTATTTGGTGATATTTTATCTGACAATTGTAAAATACAAGACATGAGCATGGAAGCTGGGCATGAGGTCATTGTTTCTAATGAGGCCACAGACGAGAGAACTGTAGGACCAGGACCATGGGCAGCTGACCCATGGGGGTGTCTGGCTATCTCTCTGAGGTGATAGACCAGCCTGACTCCATCTTAAGGATGGAAGCCATTTTGTTAAAAGGTCAGAATAAGTTCATTTCTGTTTGCTACAAAAATTTAACTTGACCATGCTTCAACCTGTTTCTCGAATCTGACATGCTCCCCACCATACGGAATTTGACTCACACCTTGAATGTGAAGACAGGATGTTCTGTCAAATGGTTTTGAAATGTTTGACCAAGTATCTACATAAACAAAATTCCTCTGGAAATCCCCCAGCCTCTGAAAATCACCTATCTAGTTTTACAGTTTTGGGGGACTATATAAGCCCTCCCCTCTCCAGTGTTCAATGCTGTTTTTTCAAACCCCACTTTAGGGAAATAGTACTGTCAGACAGAAAATAAAGCTTGCTTAATTTGACCAAAGAATTTAAGTAATGGTCTTTGTTCTCAGTCAGTAGGACTAACAAAGGGACCTTGGGTCCTGAGGATGTGAATCTGTTCTCTGATTCTGCACACCAATTTCCCAACAATTTTAAGAGGAAGAAATGGGTACCAAGAAACTGCTGACATAGGTCATCTGGAGAACTTTGTGAGCAAAAGAGTCAATAAAATTAAATATGTAGCCACCTATGCAGATGAGGGGAGCTGTAATTCTAAGACATGAATAGAAATGAATGTTGACTAAAATCTATCAAACTAAAACAGGTAACACCTGTGGGATAAGGCCAGAGACACCCCAGATGACCATAAGCAAAGGATCTCATGTCACCTCTCGCCAGACGGTCTACAGTTGTCCTCAGCCCAATTACTTACTTCACAATGTTTCTCATGAGCAGATAGAAAGCGTCTCTTGTTGACTCACAGAAGTTCTTGCCATATAATGCAATCTAAAGAAGATGAGCTTGTTAGAAGCATACACTGACACCACCCAGGGCCATCCAGCACTAGGGAACGTGCAAGTTCATTGTCTTCCATGCTAATAACTTTACTTTTCCCAATGTTTTGGTTTGCAGGAACCCCAGGAGCTCTCTGTTCTTGATCCCACAGAACTCCCAGGGTCATGGACATGAAGGAGATCACCACGTGCTGTATGTAGGGTGGACTTTTTCATCAAGTCTCAGATAGGGTATTCTATCTTTGAAACATTTGGCTGCAGTAGGTATTAAATGGTTTGGATATTGTCATCACACACAAAAATATTACTCCTAAGGAAATGCAATCCCTTGTACCATATATGAGGATTTAATAATTAAAAATCTCAGCACTATACTCTAATGGTAGATGAATTCATCGAATATTCTATCCATGACTATGCAAACCTCATTTCCAGCTCCCACCCCACTGTGATAAGCGAGCCTTGGAAGACTGCAGCTTCTATGTTTTAAGAAAATTGTTTTCTTTGTCTACTATGTAAACAAAAGAAACTCTTTAGAGGCATCCACATTCTCAGGAGAAATGAGTTAGAGATTGGCCCAGGCATTTCTACCGCTCACTCCTTTTTAACTCAAGGTTCATTAAAATGACTAATTTCTTCCTTAAAATTATGTAAATCCCTCTATTAGAAAGGCATTTTCTTCTCTGAGGGCCGACAGCTTGCCTCTTACATAGTCATCAGACACACAGCACCATTTCAGTCTCCCATGGTTTTATTGTTATTATTAAAAAATTCATTACATTGTCAGGCATTCTAGCATTTAAAGGCAAAGGAAGGAAGAACTCTGTGAGTTCTAGGCCAGCCTGGTCTAAAGATTTGTGTTCTAGGATAGTTAGTACTACATGGAGAAACCCTGTCTCAAAAAATCAAAATAAATAATAATAACAACATTTATGTGTTTATATATGTACATGTGCATGCATGTGTGTATTCATGCGTGTACATGTGTGTACATGTGTGTGCATGTGTGTTCATGTGTGTTCATGTGTGTGCATGTGTGTACATGTGTGTATGTGTGTGTACATGTGTGTGCATGCGTGTGTGTACATGTGTAGGTATGTGTCTCTTCTCAGCATGCCTATGGAAGTCAGAGAACAACTTGCAGGATCTGGATTTTCCCTTCCACTGTGCAGGAGCCAGAGCTAGCTTGGCTTTTCATGTTTGGCAGCAAGCACCTTTACCTTCAGAGCCATCTTTCTGGCCCTCTAGCAAACTTTTGAAATTTCAACACAAACATTTCCCCTCAAATGTAATTCTGTCTCAAGAAAAGTACAGCCCTGATTCACAAGTGGGAGTCGCACACCCACATATCAGAGTGACAAATTCAAGTACGTGGTACCATCCTGCTCTCCAGGCAACAGGGTGGACATGGGGTCAACTGTGCAAAAGAGGGACACCATAAATAAGCAGTGACCTACTTACCATGATGTAGGCATTTCTGTTTAAAAACTTCACCATCTTTTCCAAACACCAGAAACAGCACCGTAGGCAGCAGTGCAGGAACTGGGCAGCACTGTTCTGAGCCTCTGTGGGAGGGATGGGCATGTAAGTCCATCAGCAGCAGACTGAATGACGTCAGTGTCAGACTCAAAGTAATGACATTGGAAATAGAATTTAAGGGTTTTTGTGTGTGTGTGATGTACACCTAATTGACATTGTAGCCATTCTTCAGTATACAGTTCTGTGGCTTTAGCACTTTTACAATGTTGTAAAATAATTTCACTATTTTAATATACTTTATTTATATATACTTTATATATACATATATATACACTTTAGTATATATATATACTTTAGTATACAGTTATATAGTATACAGTATATATAGTATACAGTATATACTGTATATATAGTATATATACAGTTATATAGTATACAGTATATATATTAGTATACAGTGTGTATTATATACTTTAGTATACAGTTCTGTGGCTTCAGTACTTTTACAGTGTTGTAAAATAATTTCACTATTTGTTTTCAGAAGTTCTTATCAAACAGAAATCAATGTTCGATTAAAAACAAAACCATCCTTCCTCATTCTTTTCTCTCTTGCTCTCCACCCCACCAGCTCATATTTTACTTGGTGATGTAGGGCTGTCTCCACTAGAGATCCTGAACAGAACAACACAGAGAGGATCCTTTTGATCACTTGGCATCATGGGTAGGTACATCATGCACCCCTCACCGGTGTGTAACACTAACATCCGGCTGTAGGCACATCATGCACCCCTCGTCTTGTCCACAATCAGTGCTCATGCGGATAGTTCACACCCTTTGGCTATGGTGAATGGACTGTTGGCACGCAAGGTAGAAGTGGAACTTCTGGGTCAGTATGAATTTATATTTTTAGCATTTAGAAACTGCTGTTGTTCCCACAGTGGCTCTGCTGGGAAGCATTCCTCTCAAACGGCACAGTTTCCCAACAACCTGCACTCTTCTGGCCCCTGTGTGTAGAGGTTGTTTCGATGGCCATCCTAATGGGTGTGAGGTGCCATCACAATGTGGTTCTGGCTTGTGTGTCCCTGTCTATTGACGCTGCATCTTTCCCATTCTTGTCAACCATCCTTGTCTGTATGAGAGCTCTTCTCAACTCTTTGGGCCATCTTTGAACTTTTATTGTTTGCTGTCAGTGGCAGGATCTCTATGTGTGTTCTGGACACCAGTTCGTAATCAGGCATATTATTTACCACTCTTTTCCTCCACGACGTGGGTTGTCGATTTACTTTGCTGTTCCTTTAATGCATGAGTGTTTTTAATTTTCATGAAATCCAACTTACTTTTCCTTTATGTTTTTGTTTGTTTGGTTGGTTGGTTTTTTGGTGTGAAAAATCAAGAAACTGCCATCAAGTCCGATGACATAAAGATTTCTTTTTATGTTTTTTTTCCCCGAGAAATATTATAGCATTACCCCTTATGTTTAGATCTTTAATGTGTTCTGGGTTGATTTTGTTTTTACTGTAAGTATGGGTCCAACTTCACGCATTTACTTTTGGGCATTCTGATTTTTCCATCACCACTAAGCTGAGTAGTCGTTCCCCATCTGATAGTTTCAGATGTTAAGAATTGAGGCATGGGGTCCACATGTTATTCCAGGTCTAGTCATTCATTCGATTGCCAAACCACACCATTTTAATGGCTGGATTTTAATTTCTGGATTTTGTCTTAAATCCAGAAATTCATTCAGGAAATGTGAGCCCTCTAACTTTGTTTTCCATTTGCTCATCTTTTACAGTCCAGTGTGAGCAGAGCCCATGTGTCTGTAGACTGCCTATGCCGTGTATGAAGACTGATGTCTGTGGCTCACCGTGACATCTGGCTGGTCCTGAGCTCTAGACATGGAAGTGCACACCCTACCTTTCTACCACACTCCTCTGCAGTAATATGTTAAGACAGAACTCTTCAATTCCTTCTTGAAATGTGCTTCTCCTGGCCTCCACAAGGTCGACCATGGGGACACCAGATACGTTCACCAGATATGTTCTTCCTTCCCCACCTTTCCTACCCTCCTCTTGGTATCCGATCCCTAGCGAGTCCTCCTGGGCTGTGTTTCAGAACACACTCAAGTCCTTACCACTCCAGCCCTTTCCACCCTGACCCACATCAGTCACCGGGTCTCCGTGCGCCCACCCCATCCCGTTCTCATTTCAGAAGTCCACGGTCAATGCCGGAAGCTTACTTTTAAGTCGCCTGTCCAGGTATTCTATGATCACTTTAAATATCTGAACGGATGCAAGGATCAAAGATCCAAAGGCCAGAGACCCCGTGTGGTATCTAGGTGAAGAGAAGATAGAGTGGAAGGTGAAGCGTCGTTCTGCATGCACAGGGTGCTTTTGAACACTCTCATGGGTAAAGTGGATCAGCAGACAGGAAGGGATTTTTATAATCTCTTATTCAGATTGATGGAGTCCTCCATGGAAGGTTTGAAATCAAGCACCTTTCCATATAGCCCATATTCTGTTCTCCTAAAAGAGGGCTTGACCTGATCAATAGGGACATAAGTTAATTCCTTTATCATCCAACTCTATCTCCTCACATCTCTGGGAATTATGGGATTTAGGACATTGACCCGGGCAAGGGATTGCAAAGCTGTGGCTACAACCAGAGAAGTCAAGGAGCATCCACAAGTCTCAAATCATATTTTCAACTCATTAGTATTTTGTCAGTTGAATTCACCATCCAAGAAGGACTACCAGAGCACAAACTGTAACAGAGGAAAGGGGTGCAAAGTTTAGCACGGAACTTACCGTACTGCTCTCCCGAATGCAGTGAAGAGTGGGTACCGCGGGATGTCCTCAGGTTTTCTCATGGCCCAGTAATAGGAAGCAAAGGCACCAGCAAGGGCACATTGACCCAACGCAATTACAAAGTTTATAAGCCAAAGGAAGGCAAAGAGGTTGTAGATCTGGAAGGTCAAGATGTAATTGTGGTACATGCTCCTTCCACCGTAGAAAGCAAAGTTACACGATGCACCGGGGCAGTCTTTGGGAATGTTAGTATTAGGAAAAATCTGTGCTCAGAAGTGAAAAGGAAAATATGGCATTAAATGTGGTTCTTGTCTTTTCTCATGGTCCCCAATTGCACATTCTGCCTTTCTATTCCATGACTTTTGGTTGTCACCACTCTGATGTTAATTTATAGAACTCTTTAATGAGCTCTGGGAAGAGCTTGTTTTCATCTTAAGCACCTATCTCTCTTCTTATCACATTTTTACATTTATTAGTGCTTTCATTGACCACACCAACTTCTAAGGTGTATTATAGACAAGTGAGATCTGTTCTGTTTGCTGTTCTCAATGCCTTCCCGAAAATATCCCCTTTCTGTTTGCACCTGCACCTTTCCCCTGTATCAACTTCATGATAAGTTCGCTATTCCAGGATGTTCTTACTCACCTCTGGGTCACAAGTTTCATCTTCATATATACATTTCCCCTCTGGGACCATAACTTTGAATACTGGTACCCCTGATGTAGCCAAGAAACTGAAGGGACTTGATTAAGAATAAACTATTTACCGTTAAATTGAAAATAGACAAGAAAAGGATGAAGATAATCTGCAGCCTGTGGAGAAATGAGCACCCAAAGTCTTTTCTTCCCATTCTCTAAGAATTATTCTCTTAGGAGGCTGATATCACAGGCCAGCTGCACTGAGCAGGCCCTGAGTTATGTAGAACTATATAGAGTTGAATAGTTACACAGAGTTATAAAGTTACACAGACCTATAGAATTATAGAGTTATATAGAGTTATATAGGTCCACAGAGTTATAGACTTGTGTAAAGCTATATAGAGTTATATAGTTACAATTATATAGTTATATACAGTTATACATAGTTATAGAGTTATATAGTTACAGTTATATAATTATATATAGTTCTACATAGTTATATGCAGTTATACATAGTTATATAGAGTCATATAGTTACACAGTTATATAGTTATATATAGTTACATAGAATTATATAGTTACAGTTATATAGTAATATAGAGCTATATAGTTATAGCTATATAGAATTATAGATTTATAGTTATATATACATAGTTATAGAGTTATATAGAGTTATATAGTTATAGTTATGTAGTGTTATATAGTTATAGTTATAGAGTTATATAGAGTTATATAGTTACATAGTTATATAATTATATATAGTTATATACAGTTATACATAGTTATATAGTTACATAAAGCTATATAGTTACACAGCTATATATTTATATAGAGTTATATAGTTACACAGTTATATATTTATATATAGTTTTATAATTACATATATTATACATAGTTATATACAGTTATACATAGTTATATAGTTATATAGAGTTATATAGTTACGTAGTTATATAGTTATATAGTTACACAGAATTATAGAGTTATATAGTTATATAGAGTTATACAAGATACTTCTTAGCTCACTGACAAGATGATGATCCATCAGAATAGAACAGATCTCTGTGACCTCTTTAGAGGAACATTAAATTTTATTGACAGTTCAGAAGGCATGGAACCTAATCTAGTTACTTCTTTAGACTGTTTCTCATCTTTACAAGAATGAAAAACCCTAACATGAGCTTCTGGTCCTGAGCAGCAAGGTGGACTCAATGGATACAGAAATCAGTTATTAAGAGAGGGGAGAGGGTGAGGGAAGTGGGAGGGGACACATGTGAGCAAAGTGAAACCATATATGTGTGTGTAAGTGTGTGTGCATTTGTGAATGCATGCATGTGTATGTGTGTATGTATGTGTGTGCATGTGTGTATATGTGTGCAGTATGTATGTATGTATGTATGTCATAAAGAAATCTACTATTTCATACAGCAACTTAAAATGATAGTAAGAGAAGTCCAATGCCAAAGGATACACGGCTGTCACAGCCCAGTAGGAAATGCAGATTGATAGCAAGATGAAGGTTAAAACTGGGTAGACTAATGCACTGGGAAGGTGCCCAATGGCTCTGCAAGGAAGCAAATAGTCAATGTTCAAAAGGAATCTGGGGGTCTGCACTTTCTTGACAATTAAATGTTTATCCATTAAGAGCCAGAAGCAAGGCTTAGGTTGGATTCTGCTGATAGCAGTAGCAGATGGTGATAATTTTCTCCAACTACCATGGTTGCAAATTCTGAGCTGGCTTTGACATTTGAACATTAATTCACACATTTTAAGGTAAAGCGGGTGCTTTCCCATGCTATGTCTGCCTCCTGCACAAGACTCTTATTTGCCTTCCCCTTTTGACTGACCTAAGGTTTTGACAGACCACAGTTCTGTGATTTCTTCCTCCGCTTAGTTCCTTAGCTTCCTAAAGCAAGAGAAGAGCTGGTGGATCTTCTGTTAAAGTGTAAGATTCCTTTCCTGATTCTGTACTGTAGTCAAAACACAGGATCAGCCTCTGCTGCAGACACTGAGTCGAAGCTACTTTTCCATGGGTTGTTTCACTCTGTCTTAACAAAGGATCAGCTAGGTCTTCTTCCTCTGCCCTTTGGCATCCCACACCCACTAATATCTGGGGAGGAGAGGGTTGTGTTATGTCATTACTTCTGCCACTTTTACTCTTTTCGGATCCCTTTAAGTGATACTTTCCTCCTTTATCTTTCTCCTCTAGGACATTTCCCCAAGGGACAGTTTGTAAAATAGTCCTAGCTAGCTGTCACTAGCAGCTCTTAAGTGCTGCTTCAGTCAGTGTCTCCAGACCAAACACACACTTATTTGGTATTACCAAGGAGAAATACTAAGGACATCCTCACATAGCAAATGCACCCAACACATGTACCCATGTTGGCTTGTCTCACTGTACAGTGCCTCTGTCCTTCCCTGCACACTCTGAATTTAAGCTGCTAAGAGTCTAAAAGTTTACTTTGAACTCTGACCCATTAATTCCAGCTCTTACACACCCACCCAACCCTCCTATCTATTGGCCTGTCACAGTGATACTGGCCCTTTAACTTTTAAACATACACACAGACACTTAAGGTTGTAAGACATGAGTTGAGTTATAGTAAACTACACAATAACATACTATTTAAGAAATAAATCCAGAAAATCAGTAGTTTCAGAGGATAATGATAGGGCCTCATTTATTGTAAGGGTGGGTTAACCAACAGCTTGTTAGCTGTTTAAACCACTGGCTTCGGGTGGCACTCTTATTATAATAATATGGCAATTTTGTTAAAATAGTCCTTAAATACAATTAAAACTCATTTGGTTCTTGGTAGTTAACAACTATTTCCACTATTCCATGCGGAGGATCTGCTGGCTTCCCTAGAGCGTTTTCTCTGCTCCTCATTCAAAACCTGCCTGCACAGGTTACTCTCAAGTGACCTTTTGGAATAGTTTTCAAACTATAGGTATTATTGAATTTTATAAAAGATGGTTTATTTCATAACATTTTAGAGTGTGAGCAGCCCTGGGTACTAAGTGTATCTGAATGATGTGTTTTATGTATAGTGCAGAGCCAAGCCCTCAAGAATCAGCACCTTGTCCATTAGAAAAGCATATCATGTGCACACAATAAATAGCACACAATTGATATCATGGAATTACGGTGATTCTGAGTTCTGACAATCCTCTCAATCAGTAACATTAACACATGAGCCACCCCAGAAAAATGTAACCTACGGTACAGCCAACTCCATACAGTACTTCATTCCTTACATTCTCCAAACATACACATATTTAAATGTATGTAGACAGACCATACAGAGTCTATCTACATGTTCAAATGTTTGTCTACACAGACTACACAGAGTCTATCTTAGCTCTGTGGTCTGGGAAACAGAAAGGAGTTGTTAGGAGTGACCCTGACCTGTCTAATAAGTGTTCAACTGTTCGTCAATTTCTTCCTTAAAAAGTCCTGGTGTTGTGGGGGACTGCAGAAAAAAACAGTTCATTTGGTGAAGGGCTTGTTTCACAGTACAAAGACCTGAGTTAGGTCCCAGTACCCACAAGCTGGCATGTGATACACATCTGTAGCCTAGTGCTGAGGAGGCAGAGACAGAAGGATCCAGGAGCTCTCTAGCTAGGAAGTCTAGCTGAAACAGCGAGGTACAGGTTCAGTGAGATGTTCTGCCTCAAAAGCTAAATTAAATAGCCATCAAATAAGACATCCAGTGGCCTCCATGCTCATGTGCACACATACATTCATACAAACACACAAACACATGCTTAACATCTTCCATGAGCACACATATATACAACCATGTACACATACACATGCCTGACATCTGCTATGAGCACACACACACACAAACACACTTGGCATCTGCTATGAGCACACACACACACACAAACACACTTGGCATCTACTATGAATACACACACATGCCTGACTCTTCTATGAGCACACACACAC